GGAGTAGGATTTTGGCAGCTGGTAATTGATCGATTAGCAAGTTGTCTCTGCTGCTGGTGGTATTAAGCAGCCTGTATTTCACGGCGCTGGTGTTTGATGTAGTTCTCTGTTCCGCCATCTCTGGTGGCCCCGTAACCGGAGGGCGGGGGCCGTAATCGCTTGCCCCCTGGATCGAAAGCGGACTTTTCCAACTGCACACGCTGGACAGCAATCGGCCAGTAATCACGATTATAAATAAACTGAATGTAACTTTAGGGGAGAACGGAGGTCTCACTCGATAATCAAGAAACAGAACTGCAACACACTTGGACACACACTATCCCCGTTTATAAGTAACTGTTTTTCACTTAGTAGAAACAGAGAGGCGCATATCACTGCGTAACGCGCGGAGCGGAGACAGCTTGGCACGTCCGACATGCACGCTACCCGGCTTGGAACTCAAGTCTATCTTCTGTGACAGTTAAGAGGAACAACAAACCTTGGCAGTGGCAGTGGTAAAATAGATGTTTCTAGCCAGGCCTCCTAGAGGCCTGCCTAGGTTTGGAAAGTCAGATAATTTCCGCAGCTTATTTTACCCTCCTTGGTCACCAGCGGTCATCCCGTCGGTGCCATTTACTGTGCCCCGAAAAGCGTTATTAATCAGGCGCGAAAGTCACTTGCTTATATATCGGGCGAACACATTGTGTGCCTAGCCACGCGCCCTGTCGAGGTCAACGCCCCCGTAATGTAAAAGTAGCTTAAGTTTAGATTTAACAGATTTTTCTAGTATGTTCAGAATTTCAAAATCATGTGTTTCACTGCGTTATGGTACGGCCTAATATCACGCATGTTTTCATTTCTCCTCATCAAAAATACAAAGGGCACGTGTGGGTATCCTCGAGTAATGAAAATATGGCCCGCAGTCATATTAAGGATAATAGTTTGGGCCCTCAAGGACATTGAGACCTTAGCAATTGGATACCCCTGCATTAAAACATTGACAAACCCTAGTATGGATAGGCAAGGAGGGCAGGGAATCGTGGTATGCAGCTCAAAAAAATGTATTCCAATTTTTGCAATAGTTTCGAGCAGTACTTCTTTCTCATCTTCGGTCAATGAAAAACCCGACAAGAAAAAAATTCCAAACATGAAAAACACAATGAGTTACTAAATAATGTTAAAACATCATCACTAATGGAAACGACTATGATAACGCAGATGGTGACCGTCAAACTGTTGCAAACAGTGGAATTCATTTTTTCGAATTTTGATTAAATAATGATCGAGTCTCCTTATGTTTCCTAATGTGGAATGGATGTAATTAATTGGCCAAATAACATATCATTTAAAGGAATAATACTATAAATGGAAAATATTTGTTTAAAAACATATCTTAATTAAAATAACGATATCGATGTTAACAACAATAGTTTAAACTACATTCATGCCTGAACTTAAAATATTTTAACGTTATTTGCAGATGTTAAACCTCAAAACGTCAAGCATATCTTTCTGTAAATAATGAAGTTAAACGAGACCTCTAAAAATGGAGCTCATCGAACTCAAATATCTACAATATAGAAAAGACTAGCAAATCGGAAACATTTCTCTATCACGTTTATTGGATTGAGGGAGAGAAATATTGATTTTATCGTACAGTACTACTGTAACATGACTGAGGTGACAAAAGCCACAGGATACCTTCTAATAACGTTTCGGACCTCCTTTTACCCCACAAAGTGCAGTATTTCAACGGGGAGTGACCTCAACAACTCGTTGAAAGTCCTCTGAAAAAATATTGAGCCATGCTAGCCATAATTGCGGAAGTGTTGCCGGTGCGGTATTTGGACACGAACTCACCATGTACGATGGAATGCAAGTCAGGTGATCTGGGTGACCAAATCATTCGCCCGAATTGTCCAGAATGTTCTTCAAACCAATTGCGAACTATTGTGATCCGGTAACATGGTGACTTGTCATCCATAAAAAATCCATTGTTGTTTGGGAAAATTATGTCCCTGAATGTCTGCACATAGTGTTCAAGTAGGTGCACATAACCTTTTGCAGTCGATAATTGGACCAGTGAATTGGGCCTGAGGACCCAGTGTATCCCATGTCAAAGCAGCCCATTACAAAGCCATCCGATTGCACAATGCCTTGTTCACAATTTGGATCCATACATTATCGAACCCTACTATCAGCTCTTGCCATCTGAAATCGGGACTCACCTGACAAAGCCACCGTTTTCCAGACGTCTAGGGTCAAACCGAAATGGTCAGAAGCCCAAGAGAAGCGCTGGAGGGGATGTCGTGCTGTTAGCAAAGGCACACGAGTCGGTTTTCTACTGCTTTAAAACCAAATTTGTCGTAACGGATACGTTCGTCGCACGTCCATTTCTGTCGTTATTTCACGCAATGTTGCTTGTCTGTTAGTTCTGAAAATTCTACGCAAACGCCGTAGCTCCCGGTCCCTAAGCGAGGGTCGTCAGCCTCTGCGTTGTCCGTGGGGAGAGGGTTTGCCTGAAATCAGGTATTCTCTGAACACTCTTGACACTGTGATCTCGGAATATTGAATTCTCTATCTTTTCCGAAACTGAATGCCCCATGTATGTAGCTCCAAGTACAATGTATCAAAATCAGTTAAAATAATAAATTTTAACACGACGGAAACCGTCGTTCGGCCATAATCACGTCAGTAACATTTTCACATGAATCACAAATGAAAGCCCTGCCAATACACTGCCATTTTGCATCTTTTATACGCGATGCTACTGTTATCAATATATGTGCGTATTCATATCCCATGATTAATGTCACTTGAGTGTACTGCACACATAGAGTATACAAAATGGTACTCTGATGGCTTGTCATTTCGACCATTGTTTATAAACATTTTTATTTATAAACTATTACCCCACATCGAGCGTGCCAATCTGACCTCATTTCATTTCAGCCTATTTCAATGTCCAAACGTTAATACCGTAGTATTTATTTCTAGGCGTGTCAATCTGATAACTTTAGTTCTCGGCTGATTACCTAATACAAACAATATTACATTCTCGCCACGCTGGCACATAAACTTTTTTGCTTTTAATTATAATTATTTTATACGTTCTTTTACCATAATTTGAATATTTACCAGCCGAAATGACGCGATCATAAAATAAATGAAAGTAAAATTTAAATTTTGCAAGTCCGATAGCCCGCCTGTACAGAATCTCGGCATTGTAAAATTAACATACTTGTGATTTTTTTGATTTTCAAAAAATACGATTGGGGATGCCTATTAAAACTCAACTTGCTTCTGGAATAAGACTTGCTTCTGGACCAATTTTACGTTGCTGTATTCTGTAAAACATCCATAAATCAACTAACTCATTTTTCATCTAGACAACGACGAAAAATACAAATTTCAAACAAACGTTTATATTTATATCATCTAATTCTATCTGATTATTTTGAATCTCAAATTACTCTTATAATCCCTCCCTTAATGCATGCATGACCATTGTTCCTCTCCGTATCAATTTAATCTTAATTTATTTGAACAGACGACCTTCTTACAATTTCTTAGTTTCAATAAAATGCGTCCAATGTTACTTTCACGTTTCTGCCAAATCGCACCCTTGACTGTCGTAACCGGTTTCCTCTGTCACCA